CCTTAAATCTCGGTTTTTTTATCTCCGATTGATATCTGCATCGTTCGACCCAGTTTTTCACGCTGATTGCGAATATGATATTTATATTGCATAATAAATGACTTCTGATGAGAAAAACCGAGATTTAGAGGCAGAATTTCACCTTTCCACTCCAGTTATGGGAAAAAAGAGTATTCTCAGTAAGATAAGAATATTAGAAAGAAAAGCGATGCGTACTTTTGTTCGCCTTTAAATGCTGATTCGAATGGCGTATGACGATCGGAGAAAAGTTTCAAAACCAGGGAGGAGATAGGTTTGCGAGTGAGGTAGCTCATTTTATCGAGTGCTTACTTTTGTCAAACTTGTGCAATACAGGTATTCTGGTTTTTGTGACTCAATGGTACATGATTAGACTTAGTTTTTGATGAGGAATCCGAATATATCAAATTCGAAAAATTACAGTGAACGAAAGGGGCAGAACCTCAAGTTTTCTTAGAATGATGCAAATGTTTTGTTTTTTCGGTGTACCTAGTATTTTGGAAATTTCTCCCCAAAAACTTGATCAAATTCGAAAAGAAAGATTATATTCGGAATCAGCGCAGTCAGAAGTACCGGACTACGTAGCTTTCGACCAGAAAGTGGGATAGTGCTCGATTTTTGAATTGCGCGCACCTTACATACGATAACTTTGTCTATCCTTTTACAGTCTGTCTTTTGTCTTCACAATCGACATGGAATCAAAGTGGTGTAACTGTAGCTGGCGTGGCAGGTGTCAGTGGTTCTAATCTTTCTCTGTTATCTAGCCCAGTTGCATTGCATCTTGATACGTTAAATAATATAATGTATATTGGTGAGCAATTTAATTATCGTGTCTTGAAATGGCCCGTAGGTAGCTCAGCAGGCACTATTTACGCTGGTAATAATTCAGCTGGATGTAACCTTAATCAGTTTCAAATTGTTGCTGGTCTAGCAATAGACAGTTCTGGTAACATGTATACATCGGATCCTGGATGCGATTTAGTATTACAATTTCCTCCAAATTCAGATTCAACTACAAATGGTACATTAAAAATGTCAGGTCATTCTAATCCGGAACATATTTTTGTCGATCCATTGACAAATGATTTATACATAGCCATGGAAGGTGAACATTCAGTACTAAAATTGGCAAACAATAATAACACTCCTGTAATTGTAGCAGGTTAGTAGGACACACTAGTTGCGTATGTAAATAATTAGATTTCGATTACTCGTCTTCTAAACATAACTTTTCCTTAGGAGGCAACGGAGCTGGTAGTGGTCTAAATCAACTAAGTCACCCGAATAGTGTCTATTATGATTCTGTAACTGGCAATTTGTATGTTGCTGATACAAACAATAATCGTATAATGAAATTTCCTCCAGGATCAACCAAAAGTTCCAACGGAACAGTTGTAGCTGGTAATAATACCGCTGGTAATGCGACAAATCAATTAAATGGCCCACGGGATGTTATTGTGGATAAGAGTGGTAATATATATATAGCTGATGGATGTAAGTGTCCTTATTCTGTTTGATTCGTTGTGTAAAATTCACTGCTTTTATTTTCTTTGTGCCTATTTTTCTGTTTTAGCTAATAATCGAATTCAACGATGGCTACCATCAGCTACAAGTGGTGATACAATTCTTGGTTCCCCATCTAGTATGCCAGGTATAACAGCAGATTTGCTGAAAGGTCCTGAAACATTAAGATTTAGTTCAAATAATAGCTTATTTGTTGTTGATAGAAGTAATAATCGAGTGCAAGTATTTAGTTTACTATCTTGCTAGTGATTACGGTATCGGAATTATAAGTCTTGTGCTATATTGTTAATACGTTCTGAGAGTTTTGACATGTTTATTTTTTTTCGATGTTGAAAGGACTAAACGTTTTGCAGAGCTCTTTTTGTTAGGTCATAAGACCTAAGAAGCTAATACAACATTAATGTAATGTAGGATAGTATATCTATCTATACGTGTGTTGTTTGGTTACGTTATGGGATTTTCTGTTATGTTCAGTTCTTTTACAATAAAAACTTAAACAAGCATTTATAATCTTAACTCTGGTACAACCTAACACTTTTCCAACGTATTTGTGCTTTTTTTCCTTTCCTTGACTCACCCATTCATCAAGAATGTCTATTCTAAACTTGCAATTCGAACTGTATACATGCAATTTTTCTCTGAACTCCTGTATGTCAAACTGTAAAAACGTTACGACAGATGAATGTATGATTAGAAATAGATTATTTCTAAAGTTGATCGTTATCTTCCTTGTTTTTTGTATGATCGCAGAATCTACAAGATTAATTTCTTAATCTTTGATAAGCTATAATAAGTATAATAGTAAATAAAGATACAGTTCTCAGTTCATAACAAAGCGGAGAAAATGTCTCTTCGAGAACTCGATGTGCTTATCCAATGATGTATACATGTCACCAAAAAACTTTTGAGACACTTTATTACGATCAATTCATTGAATGTCGTACAATGCAATAAATCGTTTCTTTTTCGATAATTGTATATAATCACTTTAATTCTCGGTTATGAGTAACTTGTTAAGAAAGAAAATTAAAAAATACATCAAAATATCCCAACTCAAGTATATCTATGACGGCTAGCTCACAATGCCTCAAATTTTCAGATTATTTGTAAACTACTTCTCATGGCAATGCTTATTTTCACCTTAACATCAAAAAAAGTTTCTTAAAGTTTCTCAAAAGCGTACTTTCGAGGAAGTTTTCTCATCGCCTTGTTTTTGAAATTGCCTTGGCTTGTCTTCGTTTTTCTTCGAAAGATGCGGCACAGTCTCGGCTTTCGAAGATTGAAGGTCTCTATTATTTTCCTGTGAAACGTTATTCTAAAACTGTTTCTACTTTTCTCATTTTGAAATCCTACGCTGACACACTCTCACAAGAAAACGATGAAAAATACGTAATAAATCAGTACATCAGATTTCAAATCATTCTCACAAGGAAAATCACAATCGGTTCTAAAACACTGTTTTACGTGAAGATAATCTGAGAAGATAATTGTCGAAAGTTGTATTTTCTCTTCCTACGCTTTCTTTTTATTACATACGGATTTGAAAATTGGAAACATCTTGATCGTGAGATAAGCGTCCGACTGTGTTTTCTTTTCTGGCTTGAAAAAAAACCGTGTGAATGCGTCTAGCGATACAATTTTTGGTTTACATTGAGATAGAATCTTTGAAATATGCGTAGACACATTTACTTTCTCAAAAAAGCTCGTTCATTCGATATAAAAAAACGTACCTGGATCGATACTTCTTTAATCAATATTAACAATTTACATCTAGACGAATCTGAGCCCGAACGCCCCTAGACATTTTTTTATATATCGAAATGAGAATGGGTGCGTGCGGACGTTTATTCCTATATTAAAATTTTCCAGTGGGATAAACCGTACTTATTACAGTAGTTTCAAATGCAGATACCCTTTTTGGTTTTGTAGGATACGTTTTCTTTTTAGAGTATATTGGTACCAGTAAACAGACAATTTCATTTCGAGAAAATTTATTAATGATATCTCATGATGGCCGTTTTCTTGATTCTCGAGTAAAATGTTTTTGAGTGATATGCGGCTAATGCTTAAGTTTATAACACGGTACAATGTCCGATTCCATTTGTTTTATCACGTTCAGCATTCTATACTTTTAAAATGAAAATATCGATGATCGATGGGGTTTCTGTTCGTTCGAAATCTGCCCATATCGACGAAAACTGACATTTAATTGTCCATTAACAGCCTGTTAACTGTATGTCAAAAAATGATCTGTTAATCGTGTAAAAATCGAATGAAAATTGTCATTTAGCAGCCATTATAATGACAATTTTTTGACTTTGAAATAACGGTGAAAATAATGCCAGGTTATAGGCAATGTCCGAAAAATTGTCATTTTACGGACACCATTAAATGGCATTTTCGCCCATTTACTAGACCGCGTTAACTAATGCCAAATAAATGTGGCCGTTATATGTGCGTTTTTTTTCCATTTCAAAATGGCAAACAACTGGTCATAAAATGGCATTTAACAGCCAGTTGATGGTCGTCAAATCATTCACCGTTTTATTCTTCCATCATGAATAGTATAAATGACTCTGATTTTCCTAAAATAATCTAGAGTGTTTCGCTTCTTCAGTTATACGAGTCACAGAAACTTGCCACGAAGAAGTGGTCTGTGGTTCTTGACTCGATGCAGGTGATAGAAGATATTTTTTTGACATTTTCTAACGGTCTAACAATTGATATTTAAATGGCAAAAAAATGTAACCAGTAGGGTTACTGGCAGCAGTTAAATGCCTGTTATTTGACCGTTTTCTGACATTTAAAAAAATGCGAAATAAATGCATTTAAACGTTCCCGGTTATAATGGCAAAAAACGGCCTAAAAACGGGATCAAATGTCATAAAAATGCCATTTAAATGTTTTATTAACAGCGTATTAAATGGCATTTAATTGGCAATTAATTACACCGTTTTCGATGTCCCGGGTGCGATTTTCAGCAATCAAAAGACGACAGCTTAAGCTGTATTTTCACAAACACAAGCACCTTTTGGAAACGTTGGTAAGTCTGACTTTCTAAAAGATCTTTTAAAAATCAGCTCCGATTTCTAGAAATCAACATACCAATTCGTTGTTTTTTCTTTGTAGACAGATAGCCAAGATTCTTGACTCAGTAAAGAATTTTTTGATTTACTCTAAAATAAGGAAAAATGGAATATTTCACATAATATACGTTGCCACGAGATTTAGCAGAGTCGATAACCTATGTTTTCATGCATTTCTGTCAGTCTAAACCTAATGACAGGGAAGTCCTAATCCTTTGGGAAAGAGGTGGCCAACGTGTTTGGCGTTATCGTTTTGGTATTTTAGGATAAGAAAAAGATGAAAAATCGAAGGCAGATCTGAGGATCGAACTCAGGGCTGGTTATGCAAGTAACAACACCTGTGTACTAAACTAGCACCTAACCCAGTCGGCTAATCTGACTACATCATTTTGTAATCGTCGTATATATCACTCCTCTCTCTGACAGATATGGCACTTTGTCGGGAACATTTAACAGATGTCGAGAACATTCTAGACATCCTGTTCTGATTCTATCAGCCTCGATTACTTTTCATTTCCCTAGTCTCAATCCTGTTCATTCCCTGAGAAACCCTGGAAGGATCTTTCAGGATCCTAAATCTTCAGGATCTTGTCAAGTTTTATTCAGGATCCTGTTTCGAATCCTAGTAATTCCTGTTTCCAGGATTTTTCAAGGTTAAACAGGATCCTGTTCAGGATTTCTTCAAGTTCCTGCTCAGATATTTTTCTGAGTTGAGAATACAGGATCCTACCAGGATTTACTCTAGATCCTATCAAGGATCCTCACACGATTATAAGAGAGGATTCTGCCAAGATTTTATCAGGATTCCGTCAAGATCAGGGCCAAATCTTCGTATCAGGATCCTGTTAGGAGTGATAGCCACATCAGACAACGGTCTTTGCAAGAAAATTACCAGATCAGTCAGAATACGAAACTGACTAATCCTGCGAAGCTTCAGTCAGGATCTTGTTCAGAACTTTTAAAGAATATCCGTTTCGAGACCGTGCAAGACAATGTCAATCCTAATAAGGATCTTGATGAGACAATATACCCTAATCTCAATCTTGTTCATTTCTTGAGAAAGCCTGGAAGGATCTTTCAGGATCCTGAATTTCGAGGATCCTGTCTCGAATCCTGCTTATTCCTGTTCGCAGGATTTTCTCATGGTTAAGCAGGATCCTTTTCAGGATTTCTTCAAGTGCCTACTCAAATTTTTTTCTGAATTGACAATTCAGGATCCTATTAGGATTCGCTCTCGATCCTACTGAGGACCTTGACAAGAATAAAAGAAAGGATTCGGTCAAAATTTTATCAGGTTTTAGCCAAGACCTGTTCTGGATCCTGATACAAGGAGCCTGTCAAGAGTTATAGTTATATCAGAGGAGGATCTTGCCAAGAAGATAGCAGGATCAGTTACAATCACAAACTGATAAATCTTGCTAAGCTTTGATCAGGATCCTTTTCCAATTCCTATTTATTCTTGTTATCCTAGACCTTTCCAGGATCCTGCGCGGAACTCTTCAGGTATAAGCATTTCGAATCCTTACACAACAATACTAACCATCATCAGGATCTTGATGAGGAAATACAAGGATCTAGTTAAGATCTTTGCAGGTTTGTGTTTAGAGTGTATTCAGAATTATATTATCAGGATCCTATCAAGATTTATTACTGATCCTGTTCAGGATTCTGGCAAAAATGGATGAAAAGGTTTCATCACGATTGTGGCTGATTTTTATTCAGGATCCGTCCAAGATTGCTAAATCTATAGATCACAACATAATTTCAAATACCAATGTTGAGTAAAATCTCAATAGCGATAAATGGGATGGTTTTTTAAGATTTTGTGTTTTTATTCTGAACCTGGCAGAATCCTGAGGATTTAGGATTCTACTAGGATTTTTATCCTGATCTTGATTTGAGTCGTTGTATAAGCAATCCTTAGTCTCAATCCTGTTCATTAGTTGGGAAAGCCTGGAAGGACCTTGCAGGATCCTGTCAAATTTTGTTCAAGGTACTGTCTCTAATCCTAGTAATTCCTGTTTGCAGGATGCCTCATGGTTATACAGGATCCTTTTCAGAATTTCTTCAAGTTCCTGTCCTGATTTTGTTCTGAATTAATAATGCCAAGTTAAATAAAGT